AAAATGAAGCTCCAATTCAATTTAATTAAAAAAATTGATAAAGATTTAAATCAAAGTCAATAATTAATTTTAATTTTATATTTTCTAAGATTCACGACTTTTATTGACTTTTCAATTATAAATTTCATTAAGTTTTATTGCACACAGATTCTTCAATTATTTTCATTGTATCACTTACATTCCTAACTTTTTCAATCCATTCTTATTTACTAACTCTGAGTAGTTAACATATCATGCATTTAATAATGGTTATGGGCCAAAAATCTTTTGGAATATTGAGTATTGAAAAAAGGGAAAATATCATATATACCTTACTTATATAAAAAATTTCATATTTTACTGCTATGACAAAATAAATACTGAAAAAACTATGTAAACTGATTAAAAATACCAAAAGTACTATATTATAAACTTTCCTAAATTTCATATGTAACTTAAATGCTGAACATAACTCAAGGCAAAGGAATTAATTGAAAGTGCTGAGAAGGTGCCAATTCAAATACAAAATCAATCTTGTGGTGTCGTGGCATAAAAAATGGGGATATGAACAGTCATACTTTGATGATGAAGATTTTTGCAGTTGGTAATATAAAAAAATATCGGTAAATCTCCTGATCTTATTCATTTTCTATTTATTGTATATGATTCCATATTCAACATCACGTTCTACATCGCCATATTTCATATCATGTGTAATATATGCAATTAGGATTTTATCTTGTTCATTAATACTTGCTCTCATAAAATAAATATGTAGTATTACATTTTACACATCATGATTTTGGGGGGTAGGTTACCAATATTGATTGCATATAACCATTGAATATAAAATCCTGTATAAGATATCAAAATGAACAAGATGTGCATCATATAATGGGTAATATAACTATTTCGGTAAAAACGTTCATGGGTAATATAACTATTTTTAAAGGTAATGTTATTATCATATGCATCTTCACTTTTGGAGAAAAATATTTGAAAGAGAACTTATGCTGTATTTAATGATTATGATTTTATTCACAAGAAGGTTAATATTTATAAATAAAAGAAATGGAAATCATAAGGGATGTCAAATATTTCTGTTCAGAGGCTTTATTTGGAAACTTCAGAAATGGGATTAGATTAACTATACCTTAACAATTCCAGGTAAAAAAGTCAAGATGCCAATGATTTTTAAGTCCCACTTTTTCATCCTTATTCTACCATGTTTATGGAACTTTTGCAGGTTAGGTTCTACCCTCTCTATCCTGAAGTTCTTGCAAGTGGAAGTTTAGACTATGAAGTTCGCTTGTGGGATTGACAAACTGAAGAGTGTATAGGATCACATGATTTTTGTAATATCTTCTAATTTCAGAGTTTCAACAATAATTATCTACCTATTTTGTAAGTTCAAATTCATTAATGAGGCTGTGCTCAATTTTTATTCTCACAGATCGTCCTATAGCTTTTGTCGCCTTTCATGCCCAAGGGGAAATTTAGCTGTAGCTGTAGGCCACAAGGTTACAAATTTCAAAAATTACATTGCTGTCAGTTTAATTTTGGATGCGCTTCATTGTCGTTGACCTTGTGATATGTGACATGTATACACGTGGTATTACAACAAGAGAGGAAAGGCTTCCTCACAAACAATTATCCTTAAGACACCATTCACTCTGAGCTGTAGATATTCTCTTTCAAAGGTGCCTAAAAAATATAGACGCAGTAATTTATTATCGACAAATGATTGTATTCAATTTTTCATTATTGCATCTATTCAATTTGTTGATGCATTTTGCATTAAGATTCTTCATTTTATAATCATTCTTTATTGCTTTGTCATTTTATAGATTGTAATTTTAAGTACAATGAAAGTATTAATCACAAAAACTAAAGGTGAAGTCTATAGTATTATACTTCTACCTATTTATGATTTGGTTCATTTAAACTTGATCAAATATAGAAGTTACAAATTTATTTAGTTTATTTTGTTCTTAGGGATGCAAAATATCACATACCTTGACTGCTTCAACATACATGGCATAAGAAAGCATTAGAAAAAGTCAACGCTTACCATGGACGGAATGTGCTTCTTAATAAAGGTTAGTATGTTTCATTGGATTTCTGGTGATAAGTCATTCACCAGCGATGCATAATGTTATCAATCTGTTTAGGGTTTACAAACTTCGATTGAGTTTTTGTTATTTTCATCTTTAATCTCTGTTGCGGAAGCTCTCTTGAAAGATCTTCAAATCGGTGAATTCCAAGCTCAGTCCAACACACATTTCTCAACCAACAACCAGTCCAATCGGCTCCAAACCACAACCAATTGATTCACCTTGGTTGCTATTCAATCTTACCCACGTAGGACAAGAAAAGATGATGATTTATCGCCACAAAGGCTAAGAGAAGACACCTCAAAGGTATACTATGAAAGAACCACCAATTGTACACGTTATACAAGCGTTCTGGACACTTCTGGACACCTTTTTTTCTCACACAAAGGAGGGCAGCCGGGATCCACTTTTTCTTCTCTCAAAATCACACACTCATCATTAGAATGTGGCTAGGGTTATAGCCAAATATATACTCTAGGGTTAGACTTTAAATTGGGCCATTAAATGGGTAAACGAGCCAAGATTCATGCCATCCATAAGGAATACAATTGGGTCGAGTGTAGCTCATGGACTTGGTTGTTGGACTTATTTCATTCATCGGCCTATGTCTATGAAATAATATTAACCTACTTTAACATCATAGCTCGAGATTTATTGGATATCAAAAACCTAACAAATCTCCACCTTGATGCCTAATAAATCTACAAGCAATTAAAACATGCAGTTAGCACTTGCATAATCAAGGCAGCCAATAAAATTGGATCACAGACCTTACCTCGTGTTTCCAACTTGAAACACACACCATACTTGCTCCATATACTCACCAGGGCTAAGGTCAAGAACACCCAGGTAGAAACAAGTACTTACAGTGAACAACTAATCATGCGATAAAGATACTATATAGGATATCGTACACGGATCTTTTCAAAATTCACGTTCACGCTGAACCACCGATTAATACCAAGTTAATCAGCACACGATTAAACACATATGCAACACATGCATAAATGACCTCACGAAAGATCTCACCACACTTATCCTATCTCAATCCGTGTTGCTCACACCTTGAGAACACATATCTCCTCTCATCGCCCACAATGCTCACTAAACCAATCACTTAACTCATGTCTCACTGACAAGTCACAATAGGTCCTAATCTCTCGGGATAATCCTCTATCACCATATCACTTCTCCCAACCTATGTAGATAATGGGACTCCACCTTATAGAAGTGATAGAAGTGCCTCTCTCACACTCTACCTGTATAGGATCTCTTTCCAGATAAAGGATTCTAGACATTTGATCACATATCCACTCGTGATCCAAATGTCACACTCCACATCCCCGGTACAAACCACCATGTACCCCTAGGCATCTATACTCCACCTTACTAAACGACATCTAACACACTGCTAAAGCATCCTAACCCACTATGCATGCAAGAAATTACACCAAGTAATTCTAGTGTCTCAAATTCATGCAAATGCACATATCAAACACATTGAGATGTAGCAGATAATCATGTAACAAAATTTAGACAATCACACACATGCAGAAAAGGATCACACACAGATGAACATGCAGTGACTAGGTTTACACTTAATAAAGCTCACTGGGGTCATAACTAGACCCCTCAACCAAATACGTCTCACCTCTCATCTTACCCTTCAGCTTATCTTTCTTCTTGGGATAGTCCCTAATAAAGTGTCCAAACTTACCACAACTGTAACACCTTCTACCACTAGGCTCCTCTCGTCCTTTGCCCTTCTTCTTACTACGTTCATCACTTGAGTCACTACTCGAATCATTACCGTCTTGGGTTCTACTCAAATTCATTTGCTTAAACTTCATCCTACTCCTCATCATATGTAACTCGCCACTCCTCTTATCCTCTTTTTCAGCCTTCATTTCCATCTCCTTACTCCTAAGAGAGCCTATGACAATCTCGGATGTTAAAGTGTCCCTACCGTACTTAATTGCACTCTTAACTTCCCTATATGAATCAGGCATGGAATTAAGCAGGATAATAGCCTTATACATTTCAGATACCTCTTCATCACAATTAACAATATCTTGAACTAACTTGTTAAAGACATCCAGATTGTCATCAAGATCCTTTGAAGGATCCATTTTAAAGCTGAAAAATCGTTCAAGCAAGTACAATTTATTAGGAGTTGACTTAAGCAAGTATAAGTCCTCCAACTTTTCCCAAAGTTGTTTTGTAGAATCCAGTTTTCCTACTTTTCTCAAAACAGTATCGGACAGGTGTAAAATAATTGAAGTGTATGCAAGTTCATCATACTCTTCTTTTTATACTTCTGTTAAATTTGCAAGAAATTTGCCATCTATGGCTTTTGAAACTTTTTGTTGGACCAAAATACCCTTCATCTTTTGTTGACAAATTGAAAAATCCCCTTTCCCATTAAAAATTTCAACTTCAAAGTGTGAAGACATTTTTAAAGAGAAAATGAAAAATAGAACAACCAAGTCACAAATAGGTCACACTAAGTAATCCTAAAGTCGCAATATACACCGTTCTAGATTCCCAAGGTTTCGTAAGATTCACGATCTTAGATCAAGGGAATGTTCGAACAGGTCAAGTCCGGGTGTTCTAATTGGATAATTAACGCAAACACGAAGGTATATAAATAAAAATTTCAAATTTTCACGCAACAATTCTCACACAGTGACTATATGACAGATAATCACAAAATCAACTACCAACTTGCAATCAAAGTTCAACTCTTCAAAAATAGGGCAAATAATTCCTAAATTTTCTAGCATAAGTAATGGTTGCCAAGCAATGACAACCCCCAATCCTAACGATCACCCCACACGACGATCTGCTAATGTTGAAATTTAAACTAATTAAGCCAATATACCAGAGCGGACCTATCTAAGTCCTTAAATTATGAGAGTTGCAGATTTATCACTTAAGGACCACCACTATTCGTCCTAAAGTCTCTGGAAACTACAGCAACCAAAAAACCACGATCGAGTCCTGAATGCCCAAAGAACAATGCTGTCCAGATTCTACTGCGTACCCTGAAACAGAAAACTTTCAACACAAAAAATGTCAGAAATAATATGAGGAACAAATTGCCTGGAGAGACCATCGCCAAAAAATGTTTCACGTGCCCTCACGAGTGGCTCCTTCCCTTTGCACGTGGGCCTCACGCACCACCACACACGTCGCCCTCGATCGAAACGCACCGGCCTGCAGGGTTCGTCTCCTCCTGCATGTTACGCCAGTGCTCTCCGTTTCTCCAAACTCCTTCTGGATTGATCAGAAAACGTGAAAAACAGAGATTGATTTTGACAGATTTTGGACAGCTTCTTTGATCTGATTTCTGCTGCAATTTCTGGAC